TGTGCTTCCTTGATACCACTCACTGGTGTTCCTCTGCCCCCTCTAACTGCTCCTTCTAAGTCCCCCAACAGGTTTATTTCCCTTTTTCACCCTCACCCCCTTCCCTTCCCACTGCTGGCATATCTCTTTCTAAGCAATTTTATCATCACCTGTGGCTTAAATGATGGCTTATATACACTAATGGCATACATTCTTGGAGCCTTCAATCTATATAGCCAACTGCCTTAGACATTCCTGTTTTTAAGGCCCATAGCCATTTCAAACTTATTAAGTCCCAAGCTGAGCTGAGCATCTTTCTTGTTTTCAAAACTGACTTTTTGTTCTACATTTACTGTTTGTGTATATGGTTAACACATCTATCCATCGAGTTGGCCAGATACGTGAGAGAAGCCATCTTGTTCCTCACCTCCGACTCCTCTGGCTCCAGATCCTATTGACTTGGTCCCATCATTCCAATCGATCCATTTGTCTCTTTCTCTGATACTGTTGAATGTAGACCTTTTGGCTCCCTTTTCTGGATTATCTCAGTCATTTCCAGACTGTTCTTCCTGCTGGCCTCCGTCTCCCTTTTCCAGCCTAAAGATTTGATATTGCTTTTTCCCCCCTTTGTCATTGTTATTCATTTATGTCTTTTTTTCCTTCAGTGTCTTTTTCAAACTAAAAAGGAGTATACTCTTATTGTAAAATAGCAAATCACTTATAAGGCTGTAGAGAAAAGGTTAAAGTTACCCTGATCAAGTCCTCAAATTTTACTCCCAAATACACTTGCATTTCTTCTACTTCAACTTTTTTTTTTTAATCTAAAGGTTTTATAGGTTTTTCTTTCTATTTTTGGCTATACTGTGCAGCATGTGGGATCTTAGTTCCCCAAGCAGGGATCAAATCCACGTCCCCTGCAGTGGAAGTGCAGATTCTTAACCAGTGGGCCACCAGGGAAATCCCTCTTCTACTTTAAGAGGCACATTTTTTCCCCTTATATTTTAACATCTCTGAAATCAAACTGTATCATACAGTCAGTGATGTCTGAGATTTGATTAAATACATTATTGCTCTGCAATGTGCTATTTTTACTCATTAATATGGGTCAGGATTCCAAACCAGCACTTATCTCCAGGACGATCTTTCTAAACATCAAATCTGGTTGGGTCACTATCCTCCCCCAAATTCTTCAAAGTTTCCCCTCCTCACCCCACCTCCGCTTCCGAGGCCCCTCATCATCTGACTCTCTTACTTTTGCAAGTTTTGTTTCCAGCACATCTTCACACATCCTCTTCCTTAAAAGTATATCTATTTGCAGTTAGTTCCCCAAATAGACTGCTGAGCCAGATCTTGGTGCTTTTGCGCCTGTGTTTCCTCTGCCTTTTCCTCACCTCTTCTACTCCAAGTTGCCTCTTGTTAGAAAACTGTCACCAATCCCCCGCAAGCTAAGCCTGGGTTCTTTCTTTACATACTCTCAGTTTCTCCAGCATCAGATGCATGTCTTTGTTAAGTTACTTAACACACAGGTTTAAGCCTCTTCTCTTACTGTTGCTCCCATAAATCATTAGCTCTCAAGTACATGTTCTTCTTTATACTCATTTCCAGCAGTGCCAGGGCAACAGAAAGTGTTAGTTGCTAGGTTGTGTCTAGTCTGTGCGACCCCATGGACTGACCATGCCAGGCTCCTCTGTCTAAGGGATTCTCCAGGCAAGAATACTGGAGTGGGTTGCCATGCCCTTCTCCGGGGGATCTTCCTGACCCAGAGATCGAACGTGGGTCTTCTGCTTTGCAGGCAGATTCTTTACAGTGTGAGCCGCCAGAGAAGGCCTCTGAGCTACTAGGGCAGCCCAACATGACACCCCAAAAATATTTCTGGAAATAATGAACTGTATATGAGGGAAGCATAAAAATGCTCCCTGAGATGTGGTGAAGAGCATTCTTATAGACTATCACCTTAACCTGGGACAAGAGAGAAAAAGGAGGTGAGAAGGGGGACTTCCCTGGTGGTCCAGGGGCTAGGACTCCATGCTCCCAATGCAGAGCGATCCCACATGCCTCAACTAAGAGTTTGCATGCCACAAATAAATAAGTAAATATTAAAAAAAAAAGAGAGAGAAAAGAGCGAGGAGAGAAAGTCTGGACACTAAACCACCTGGCACCTAATAATGGGGTAAATAATGGGGTTTTTCTTCCTTTCCCCCATTTTCTACTCCTCCAGACCTAATTCCACCCTCAACTAAAGATAATCTGATTTCAACAACCATGACTTTGATGACCCCTTCCTTTCTTTCTAGCCTAAGTGCTTCAAGTTCAAATCTCTATGTCATCACCCTCTCTTGCCACAAGTACCCTATCCAGTTTCAAAAAGTACTAAAGGGGGATTCTTTCCACTTGCCACTCTTCAGTGCCCATCTGACTTTTCCGTTTGGCTTCCCTTCTGTCCCGGGTGTGGATACACCTGGCAGGTCCATCAGGATTCCACCAGGAAAAAAAAAATGAAAAGAAGCTAAAGTTTAAAACAAAACCTTTATTTTAATAACTATTCTAAAGGCTTGAATATCTGGGCTTCCCTGATAGCTCAGTTGGTAAAGAATACGCCTGCAATGCAGGAGACCTCAATTCGATTCCTGGGTCGGGAAGATCTGCTGGAGAGGGGGATAGGCTACCCCTCCAGTATACTTGGGATTCCCTTGTGGCTCAGCTGGTAAAGAGTCTGCCTGCAATGTGGTAGACCTGGGTTTGATCCCTGGGTTGGGAAGATCCCTGGAGAAGGGAATGGCTACCCACTCCAGTATTCTGGCCTGGAGAATCCCCATGGATAGAGGAGCCTGGCGGGCTACAGTCCATGGGGACACAACTGAGTAACTTTCACTTTCAAAAGCTTGATATTAATGTGGAGACCTCAGTGGGAAACACTTACCCCCTCTTAACCCTGGTTTGGGTTCAGATTCAAGAAAATGCCAAAAATAGACAAAAATGTTTCCCCGTTCTTCTTTCTGACCTAAATAATTTAAAGCCAAGGATTCCAATTCATTCATGGAAAAGTACCAGGGTATGTTGGTTGACTTAAACAAAGCTTAGCTAATGTGACCTATGTGTCAGTCAGTAAAACTGGCCCATGCTAACACAAGTTGACAATTGTCAGGCCAAGATACTTTCAATACCTTCCCTCAGCAAAAAGGACAGGGGCTTATGAAACAATGAAAAATAGTAGAGCAAAAGAAGAAAAAGTGGAAAGATGAGGGGAGTTCAAGAAGGAAGACTGACACTGACATGGAGGAGAAAATAGGAAATACGGCCAACAGAGGATATAAAAAATTAGCATATTTGCTATTACAGTTGGGGCGAGGATAAACAGTCACAACAGAAGGAAATAAGAAGGCAGCTAAAGAAAAGAATGGGAGAGGGCGGGGAATCAGATCGGTAAATAGATAAAACAAGAAAAGTATTTGGGGCCTGTGTATAGACTAATAAAGAAACAGAACAGGACCAGAAGGATTATTTCCGGATGAACATGTGGACAGGTAAAATGTAGAAGAAGCAACTGTTAGGAAACATGCTGTAATTCTACTGTCTTGAAGAGGCCAAGATTTTCATACTAGAGTCTGTCAAACTGTAGTCTATAAATGGAACTTCTCTGGTGGCTCACTGGTAAAGAATCTGCCAACGCAGGAAATGCAGATTCTACCCCTGGGTCAGGAAGATCCCCTGAAGAAGGAAATGGCAACCCACTCCAGTATTCTTGCCTGGAGAATCCCCATGGACAGAGGAGCCTTGTGGGCTACAGTCCATGGGTCGCAAAGAGTTGGACACGATTTAACGACCACAAAGGCACACAGGCAGTCTACAAGTGCATGTGGAATTAGGCAGTTTACAGCCCCTCAGTGGAGAATGACAGTCAAGCTGAAAGCTGGGAACAACTTGGTCGAATCCAGCCAGTCTGTACTGCTTTCACATTCTGAATGCCTGGAGGAAATGTGACATTTGGAGGGAACCAACTTCACCACTTAAGCCAACACAAAAGAGACTGTACAAATCTCTTCTGTTCATAAATTTTGGAGTAAATAAGAGCAAATTCACACATCAAATTTGATTTTTTCAGCAGCTTTGCGTGAGATTACTAGGAAGGAAAAAGTCCTTCCTGTAACCAACCTGTAACCTTCAGAGTGATTTCTCTTTTCAGTACAGACTTGGGCGTATTGGGACCCTTAGGAGCCAACGTCCGGAGGAGTCGCCCTGGGGGTTATCCCGAGATCCAGATGGGCTTGCTTTGGATGCGAAATTTGTCTCCCACCCCACCCCCCGCACCTCGATGATGCTGCCTCCGGGTATCTGAAATTACTAGCCTACAGCATTAAGTAATGTGTGTTTGGAGAGACCGCAAGACGCTGGTTAATTTGCACCTTTTTCCCCACCCAGCGACTTCAGCCCGGACTTAACGCTGAGAAAGGAGCGGGCGAAAACAGCTCTCCTATTGTTTTCGTTTCCTACGTGGCCGAAACCCAGAGGAGTGGCGGGTCGCCTACCTGCCTTCCATGCCCCGGGCCGGGAGCGGCTGCGTGGCTCGCCGGCCACCTCACCTATGGCACTTTCTTCCCGGTTCGGACCCGCCTGACTCATCGGGGATGGGTGGCAGGGGTGGGGGAGACCTCACAGGGCGGAGGGACAGGAGGAGGCGGGCCGGGCCCTTCCCCCAGAGCCGGGGAGGAGGCGTTGCCAGGGCGCAGGTGAAGCCGGCTCCGGCCGATCCCGGGAACTTTCGCCGCGGGGATTCGCGGAGCGCAGAGCCGGCCCAGGGAGCCGCCTTCTCCCACCTGGTCGGCGCGCGGGGCCTGTGGCCGGGGGGAGCCCTCCAGCCTCTCGGCACGTTCTGGGTCTGCCTGCAGGCCGCGGCTGATGGAGGCGGGTGGCGCCACTCTGGGCGCAGGTGACACACGCCAGGCCGGGGTTTCCGCCAGCGCGGGAGAGCGCCGGGAGGGCGAGACGCAGACACCTCGGGGCCGGGGGACGACGGGGCCGCGATGGCCCGGGAGCTGAGCCAGGAAGCGCTCCTGGACTTCCTGTGCCAGGCCGGGGGCCGGGTGACCAACGCCGCCTTGCTGAGCCACTTCAAGAGCTTCCTCCGCGACCCCGACGCGCCCCCCGGGCAGCAGCAGCGCCGCCGCGAGCTTTTCAAGGGTTTCGTCAACTCGGTCGCCGCAGTGCGCCAGGACCCCGACGGCACCAAGTTCGTGGTGCTCAAGAGGAGGTACCGGGACCTTGTGGGGGAGGAGGAGGGGCTGCGGCGACCCCGCGACCCGCCCGCGGCCGCCGCCCCTGCAGGGGGAGCTGCGCCCCGCTCCCCGCTCCCCGCGCGCCGAGGGGAGCAGCCGCCGCAACCGCAGCAGGGGAGGCGGATCCGGCGCGAGGAGGCGCCAGCAGGTGCCGCAGCGGTCGCCGACGCAGGTTGCAATGGACTCCCCGCGGGCGGCGCCCGGGAGGTGGCGCGGGGAGGCGGCAGGCCGAGGGGCCGCTCCGGCCATCGGGCGCCGGTGCCCGCGGCCGCGGTGGCGGCGGCTGCTCAGGACCGAGCCAGGTGCGCGGCGGCGGAGACGCAGGGCCGCTGCTGCTGGGAATGCCTCCAGAACGGCCTGGGGGGGCTCCCGGACCCTGCCAGCGCCAGCGCCGCGGAGAAGCCGGCCCAGGACGACCGCGGGGCTCCCAGGCCGCACCGGGAAGGTGCGCCCGCGGAGCCCCCGCCAGGGCCTGCCGCGCCCCGCTCGCCTCCTGCCACCGTCGAGGCTGCTGCAGCGCCCGCTGTCTTGTCCAGCCCCAGTCCCCCAGGAGATCCGCCCGCGCCGGTGACCCCGGGCCCCGTGCTCTACTCCACTCTGCAGCAGCAGCAGCAGCGCACTCGCGAGTGGGTAGCCAGACACCCCCAGGTACCCGAGGCCCGGGACCACGGCCCCGTCCGAGCCTGGTCGGTGCTGCCAGACGACTTCGCTCGGCTGCCCTCGGAGCAGGGCTCCTGGGTCCAGGAATCTGAGTCAGCGCCCCTGGACCCCCCTCCTCCCTCTCAGTCTCTCGTCGCTCCCACTGTTTCGGAAGCCTGGTCCGGGGATTCTCCGCTGGCAGTCTTTCGTAGCATTCGATGTCAGCTGTCCCTCCAGGATTTGGAGGACTTCGTGGAACAGGAGAGCCATGGCAGTGAGGAGAGCAGCAGCGGCCCCAAAGAGTCCCCTGGAGGTTCCGAAGACGGGCTGCGTCTGGCCCTGGGAGCCTCAGATGGGAGAAGGCTCAGGAATCCAGCTGGGGCCCCGTCTCCGAAGGAGGCCAGGCCCACCAGGAGCCCCCAGGGCCTCAGGAATGTAGGAGATGCTCACACCTCTCAGCCCATCTCCACAGGAGCTGATGGTCCTGCAGGCGACCCCCAACCTTTATCCTGGCCAGCTCCCAAACTAAGGAGATCCCGAAGGAGAAGCTCTAGGGCGGGGAGAGCCAGATTGTCCTCCTCTGAGGAAGAGTGCCTTGAGGAGGATTTGCTGAAAAGGAGCCGCCGCCCTCCCCGGGCCAGGAAACCCTCCAGAGTGGGAGCCATGTCCAGCCCAAGGGTGGATGCTGCATTGACACTAGCAAATGCAGACGTTAAGGCTGCCACCTCCGAGCGGGATCATCCACGCAGCTGGTGGGCCCCTGGAGGGGACAGGCCCACAGCCTTGGTCCCCCACAGATATTCGGAGCACAAGTCATCCCTCGTCCCCCTTGATGCCAGGGAGCATGAATGGATCGTGAAGCTGGCCAGTGGCTCTTGGATTCGGGTGTTGAGTTTGTTCTGGGAGGATCCCCAGCTGGCTTTGCACAAAGACTTCTTGACCGGGTACACTGCCCTGCACTGGATAGCCAAACACGGTGCCCTCAGGGCCCTTCAGGACTTGGTCTCAAGTGCACAGAAAGCAGGGGTTGCTCTTGATGTGAATGTGAAGTCCAGCTGTGGGTACACCCCGCTGCACCTTGCGGCCATTCACGGCCACCAGGGGATCATCAAATTGCTTGTGCAAAGGCTGGCGTCTCGTGTAAACGTCCGAGACAGCAGTGGGAAGAAGCCTTGGCAGTATCTGACCAGTAATACCTCTGGGGAAATATGGCAGCTACTGGAAGCCCCACGGGGCAAGCCCATTTTCCCCGCCTATTCGTTGGTTCGTAGCTCTTCCCCCACCAGGAAGGCCAAGAGCCAGGAAGTATCTCGACATGTCACCCGAAAGACTTCCTTAGCTGCACTCCTCAAAGGTCAGCACGCCAAATGGAAGCTGGCCAACCAGTATGAGAAATGCCCCAATCTGAGGGAAAGAGAAGAGGACAGTGACTGAGGGGAGCCCCTGTCTCCAGCATGGCCTCCACACCTTCATCCTTGAGCTAGTCAGTGAGAGAATCCAGGGAGAGAGGGGAAATTGCCAAGGAGTTGGTTGCGAGGTCAAGTGAGATGGCCTGCTTGTTTACCTCCGTGGATTCTGTGTCAGCGCATCCTGGGCCTTCAAGGTCATCCAAGCTTTCTAACGGTGAATGTAGACAAGAGTCAGGTGCCTAAACCTGGGTGTTCTTCCCCTTCCTTTGCCACCTGGGCACAGGTGGCCACGCCATTCTCCCAAGCAGCTACCCCAGGCCTTGACTAGAGAGGGAACAGATGTCTAACAAGAAGAGAGGCAATTCAAGGAACTGAGAAGGTTCAAACAAAATCCTCTCTCTGGCTAGGAGCTCTCTGGCTTCCATTCATTTGGAGAATAAATCTTGGCTGAGGAAAAGCACCAGGTTTGAAATCAGATGGCTCCTCTTTTTTCCTCTCTCTCTCTCTTTTTTTTTTTTTGCATTCAGATTGGTGCAATAAAATTATTACTGGAAAGTAGAAGTTGCGCTAAGAGATTCATCTACCCCATCCTCAGGTTTTCCTTTGAATGCAACCTTTGGTGGCCAGTGCAAGAAAAGATTTATTAATCTTTTCAGAGAAGCAGTTGGGTAAGATCCATTTGTGACTGACATTCAGGCCCTGCTTTAAAAAAAAAAAAAATTCAAAACCAAGGGGAAGTTTCCAAATGTAAAAACTGTATGGCTCATTTGCATAGTGACTGAAACCATCTTTTATGGAAATTCCTTCTGTGACAAATGGCAGAATTAGCATTAGTTTTTAGTGGGTCTGAATGGCCAATATCCATACTCATGAAAAGAGAAATGATTTTGTTCTGGGGATGCAATAAGGGTTGTGAGGTGAATGCATCTCCACCAGGAATTCTCTAAGCTGCTAAATATAATTTTATTTGTACTAAACTTGTTGCCAATTAAGATTAAATATTAGCCTTGAGTTAGTGCTATGTCTCTAATGGAAAGTGCTCTTTTTATTTGTGATGAGACTGATCTCTGTGAATCCATGGAATAAGAGAATGGCTAGTTAATAAACTACTGTAGGACATCAAGATTTCAGAATGTCAGTTCAAAGAGTGCTGCAAGATTAAGTGTCCAAATCGAAATAGTTAATTTTTTATGGAGATATTTTTATGTGCTGTGGCAATGTTGTTGTATTTTTAACGTACTTTTGTGTTTCTTCTGGCTTCCCCCCCCCATTAAAATGTCAACAGATATTTGTAGTTTATTGTTCTTACGCTGATTACTGTTAACTTTCTTCTTGACAAAATTGTGTCTCAGTGAATGTCAAATATTTTTGTTTCTTTGTAGTTTTACTTTATAATTTTGCTGAAATAAATATCTTTCTGCTCTATTAGAAAACAAACAAAAACAGGCAGAATAAATAAATCTAAGGATTACTTTTCTCCAAAAAGGCCTATACTAGGGATGAAACTTTAGCAAATCAAATCAAGAAAGCTATAGGCACAGATGGTAGGTATATGGTTAGGAGAAATGAAATTTTAAAAAATAAAAGATAAACATTTATGTGAGTACCTTAGTAAACCCGGTGATCTCCAAGGGTGGAAAAATCACAAAAATGTCAACTTCTTTTAAAAGTCAAGGAAATGTTTTCATTTTACCATGTTGTTATTACAATGTCAATTTATTCAGCAAGTATGTTTTCCTTAGTGCTGTGGGATTTATAAAGATGAGTGGGACAGGACTTCTCCCCTCTTGAACTTAAAAATCTAACAAGAATATTTGCTGATTGATTTATACCATACCTTTCTCCCAAAGTATCTTTTTAAAGTTGCATTATATTAGGTATAAGCTTTTGAAATGAGACAAAGGGAAAAACAAAAAGATGCTACCAGCAATGAGGACAAAACCACTGCAATGCAAGAAGAAATTTTTTTTTCAAAGTTTCCTAAGTACAAAATTAAGTGCTCCAGAGGATTTCTGAGGAGAGAGTCCTTTGGGCTAAGAAAATCAGGGCGGGCTGCTGGAAGGCCAGGCATCTTTAGGTGAATGATCTTGGCTTTCCACAGAAACCAGCTGTGTTGGTTCTACCACATTCTTGACTGGCTGCCACGTGTGATTTCATAGCGCAGCACTGACTGATTGCTCAATGGTTAGAGCACAGTCCCAGGTTCATTCTTACGAGGATCCATCAGGTCCGTCTGTCCACATATCACACCTCTGATCAACTTTCTGACGTGGTTAACATGTATTTGGGGAGAGGGTGGGGCAGAAGAGGGTTTTGAGAGCAGAGTAAAGCACAGACCTGATGGAGTCACTGTTTTGCTCATGTCTTAAAGCACAGACTAGGAGGACCGCCCGAGCCAATCTCCTACCAGCCGCTCCCTTCCACCATCCCACACTGACGCCTCACCACAACTATCAAAGTGCAAATGCCCTTACCCTCAAAGTTTCCGTCCTGGTGCTGAATTCGTTCAGCTTAGAATTCCTTTTGCTCCTTTCCTGGAGATATTGTATGTTTCAGAGGACAGCTCAGAGGTCGACGCCTCCACGAAGGCAACGCTTAGGGATGTATTTGGGGGACACTTAGCTGCTCATGACTGTGGGGGGTATGTGGCATCGTCTGCGTGGCAGCCTGAGGTGCTGTGGACTGAGGTGAGGATGGAAAGGGAATTTAAGGTCAAGATGGAAAAGATCTTTTATGATGTGTGTGTATGTGCGCTTAGTCGCTCAGTCGTGTCCCAGCCTGTGACCCTTTGGACTGCAGCCCACCAGACTCCTCTCTGTCCATGGAGTTTTTCAGGCATGAATACTAGGGTGGGTTGCTATTTCCTCCTCCAGGGAATCTTCCCAACCCAGGGATTGAACCCAGTTCTCCTGCATTGCAGGCAGATTCTTTATTCACTGAGCCATCAGGCTTCCCCGATTTTATATGTCAAGACAAATAGTCATTTTAGAGAATTCCCTGATAGTTCAGCGGTTGAGACTCCATGTTCCCAATGCAGGGGGCCCAGGTTAGATCCCTGGTTGGGAACTAGACTCCACATGCCGCAACTAGAGATCCCACACGCCACAGCTAGAGATTCCCACATGCCACAACTAGAGATTCCCACATGCCACAACTAAGACCTGGAGCAGCCAAATAAGTAAATAAATAACTCTTAAAAAAAAAAAATCCTATTAAAGAGAAAAAGAAAAATAGGCATTTTCCAGAAAGCCAAGGATTGTCCAATCTCCTCCAGAAAACCTTAGTGTAATTCCAAGTATGGAAACTTTCCTAATGTCTTAATCTGAAAGCAAATAAGTAGAGACATAAATTGAAGTACTGTATAGGATGTACTCAATTTTGAAGTTTCCCTTTCAGATTTTCCTTGCCTTTGATGTTAACGCTGCTTTGCTGGCAAATAGGGGTAGGCAATAAAATAATTTAGCAAATAAAAATTTATTATTAGAGGCAAACATTAGAAACTGGTGATAATCTTAGTTCAACCACTTGCTCTTTTGTAGATAAAACTGTAAAGTCGTGAGTTCTATATGTAATATCTACTATACTGTTATCTTCTGCCAGCAAAACTGCTTTTGGTTCAACATTTCAGGATGTTCCACACAGCATGCCATGACTTCCAGAGGATTTGATTTTCTTAATACATTTTTAAAGTAACAACTTTGGTCTATATTTAATAGTTCACATACCATACAATTCACCTAATTAGAGTACACAGTTCAGTGGTTTTGAGTGTGTTCACAGAGTTGTACAAAAATTACCACAATAAATTCCTGTATATGTTTCAGAACTACCGACCCAGGGAATAAGGAGCCACTGACAGTTTAATGCAGACACGTATAGACTGGGGTAAAAAAAAAAAAAAAAAGATTCCTCTTGCTGCAGCCAGGGAGACAAACTAGCAGAGATGAGTTAAGCCATTGTAGTGTTTTAGTTCCATATCGGAAATAGGATTGTTGACTCCATCAGCTGGATGAGGTGAATGAGTTTGAATGTCGAAGATGAGGAAAGAAATTTTAGTTGGAGGGGCTGCCTTAGTTGATTAAAATCAGAAAAAATTAGGTAGGCTCCAAAAGGATCTCTCCATTTCCTCTCATCTCAATGCCCTAGTTCAGTGAATAGACCTCTTCATTACTGTGATGATGGTCTAGGTTCAAGTTGGCACTGACCTAAGAGTATAAATTCAGTCTCTGTATAGGCTGTTATAGCACCGCAGTATTAGTGGGTGTGCTTGTGTTTGCTGACATCAAACAAACAAAAATGTGTGATGAAAGGGTAGATTGTGTAGTATTTAGGGTCGTGGCAATGAGCTAGGGTGCCTGGGTTCCTGTTCTGGCTTGGACAACCTTCAACTTCTTGGTTTTCTCATTTTTAAGATTTTTTTTTTTAATTATTTAAAGATCAAGTGAATGAACACAAAGTCTTTAGAAGATGTCTGGTACATGGTAAATCCTCAATAAATGTTAGCTATTATTATTTTAAACACTGTTCAAAATATACAGTTCACTTAAATTTTCCATCTATGCTAAAGACAAAGAATTCTCTAGTTGATTAAAAAGGTGCTACAAGAATAAGATTTACTGATAAAATCATACACTTTTCCTTGTTTCAGATATAAAAAGAGCTTTTATGTCTCATTTCAAATGAAAAAGACCGTTCAACTATCTCTTGTGTGTAACAATCATGAGCTATTATGGTATGTCATTAAACAAAATTAGGTTTTAATTGAAGTCATGTAAACTATTATTAGCACCAGTCAAATTAGCAGCTCTGGTTTAGTCTGGAATAGAAACCCAGGCAGAGGTCTGAAGGGGTGAGGCTTATGGGGAGTCAAGTGTGTGTCTATGTAAAGCTACCATCACTCAGGAAATCTGAAATATCTAAATTCAACCATGCAGTAAACTTTACCAAAATTCCACTAACTTGGTTAAGATGGAGTCTCACTGATTTGAATTAAAAATTATTGATGTATTGAAATATTCTTCCTCT